TGATAAAAAAAACATATGCTAATTGTGCTATGAAAGCTCGGGTAGGGTTAGCTGTACAATGCTTGCAGCGAAAACAGCGCTTCTACTATACAGGAATTGACTAGTGGAGCGCTTTTCGGAGATTGAAATTGTATGAGCCAGCCAATAGTCTACAAATCAGTATGAGTTATACTGATTTTTCGCTAATTTGGTTGATTGGGATTCTCATACTAGCCTCTTTGAGCGCTAGCAGCTTAAAATTATGAAGACTTTGACAAAGGGAAAGCTGTTTTATTTTATACGATTGCCTGATTTTTTCTTTTGCGAACTTCGTTTAGGTCCAATTGAGGGGACGTATATGTTGAAAATACTGTGTATTAAGATGTAAATCCGCAAATATTGAGGGATTTAAGGTACAACGAGTTACAAAAAGCCAAAGTCAATTAATTTTTGGTGAGTTGTAATCCGCACAGTAGTCAAGTTATTTATCTCACACCCCATTGTTAAGTAAGAAAGATTTACCTTTCTTGAAAGGTGTACAATTTTCAAGCGTAAAACAGTCGTACAGCTATTGGAAGCGATGTTCTAAGGTTGCAATTGTATGAGTTGCCAGTTGAGAGCTAAATGGAAACTCGAGCCAAGTAGGCTCCTGTTCTAGGAATAATTCCCAGCCGAAAAATTCAACAAAAAATGGTTATCTTCATATTTTTTCTTCATTCAGCGTTCACTAAGTCGATTTAATGGGCGTAAGAATGAAAGGATTCCAATTTGTATGCCACGGTTATCTACAATAAGAAAGCAGACTGCTGCGCCAATGCTACTCCATCACTTTTACTGTCGAATCAATGAACGTCCCAACCGCAAGTTCCAAACGAGTTCCATCCAAACCATTGTCTGAGAAAGTGGTCGTAACTTATCTTCTCCTTAATACCAAGCCAACAACACTCCGCTTTTCACTTCCAACGTGTTTAATTGTTTATTTATACTTGGCCATAGGCTTACTTGGCCAGTCTAAACAGTCACTGTCAACTCTCTCGCGTTCACATAATCATCTTCTTCCTTTCAACTTATTTCGTTTGCTTTTCAATGTTTTTCGGCAGACATCATAATGAAATTTTTTCAGATGGGTACGTTCGGCGTTTGGTCGGCGTATGGAGCAGTCGGACGATCAATTCGAATTGCTTTTTTAGTGTCAAGCATTCTTATAATCGTAAGTTCTTCAAGTTGGCTTAGTTTTCGACTTTACAAGTAAGGAGCCTGTTGAAGACTCTTTCCATTCTATAAAAAAAACTTCATAGTTTGAAATTCAAATAAAATTACGTTTGAGTTGACTTGCATGAGTGCCACTAGATGGCAAGTCAAGTTCTTCTCAAAGGATAGGAGCACCATTTTAAATGCATGTTTTCTAATTTTCAGGCGTACTCCATAGCTTGTATTGCATACGGCTCATGGCTAGCTTCCTCCAGGGGGCAATACGCTGAACTGCTCTCTCCGTCGCTTTACGTTGACGTGGCCAGAATACTCCTCGTTGTCTCCGCTATCACTGTCGCCAATCAACTAATCTGCATATACTCCGTAATTAAAGAATTGCGTTTCTGGATATATGCGGTGAGTACGCAAAAGAACAGTATTAGAAAATTTAAATGATTATCTTACGTAATTGTTGTTTCTTTGCGTCATAGAATGTAATACAGGACTTGTAAGATAAGCTGTTGGCTGATTTAGTTGCACTGTCTAAAATTTAGCTAATTGATTGCAAGAAAGTAAGCTTGAACTGAAAGCTTTTAGAATATTCGCTTGTGAGTTTGCTACCTAAGACTATCTCACAACGATTGTGATGGTGTCTAAGCAGTCTTTTAACGAATGTATCTAACATAATAACACTGCACCAACAATTAACCACCGTTTCAAGCATCATTGCTTACCTTGACTCGCTAAGGTATTTACGCGGACAGAACGTGAGATGTGATTTCAAAAAAAGTAGTGCTACCTACAATAGTGAGGCAAAAAGTATGGGCTGTGTTGACAAATTCTAAAGATTTTGGCTCAATAAGGGGCTTGAGCCATGTTGAAAATCCTTTTAAAATTCTACTTTAGCTTTTCTAAATTGATTCGTCATCAAAAACAAGAAAAGCAAAATTTTGTTAAAGTGAGGTCCCGTCTCTCTGCCATAAAGCCATTATTGAGAATTTATTCTTGAACTATAATTTAAAGCTGCTATCATTTACATCAATAAGCAAATCATTAATAGGTTTGGTGAAATCAAAGTGCCATTCTACCACATTTCACTATTATCGGTTCATTGCACGCGCTAGGTAAAAGATTGAAAATGAGATAAGAAAGGACCTTGGGCTCAAACCTCTGTCTAATTAAAACTGCTTCCAAAAGTCGCTGTAAACAGGAAGAAAGGTGCATCTCCATATGACGTATATAAATTACTTTTATATTTTCAGTCTGCTGTGACATCTCTAATTATCTTTATAATGTTGTTTATCGGTGGAATAATGGGACTGGTGTTTCGATCTCAGGTATACGCTTGCTTACATATTTAATCTTATTTCAAAAACATTGCGCTATTGGTTATGTTTAGCTAACTACGCAAATACCTCTTCGATTAAAAATGTTGACTTCGCTCAGAGAGCTCTACGGCACTCCCGATATGGAGCAGGTTACTGATGCTTGGGATCAGCTCCAATCGAATGTGAGTTAAAGGATATTTTATCCTGTCCTGTAAAATGCAAACGCTACCTGCACCAAATAAGTCTTTTGAAATTGTTTTTG